CCTCTTTCCCCTCTGATTCTCCCTGATTCCTCGCTATTAACTGATACTATCCTAGATCATACTGCTGTCACAAACATCCGCCATTGTATAGCAGATCTCCCTTTGTATCGCGATTTTCCAGAGCTCGTCGGATAACAAAAGTCGTCGAACAAAGTACATGTCGCGTTATCGACATTCTGTAAGTAGGTGTGTGCGTCAGTTTAACAAAACGAATCGGTCAAGCGTGAATTCTAGCTTACAAGTTATATTATAATAATAATTATCGCGCTGAAACGCTCGTATGTTCAACGTGTTTTCGCGTCTATTTTAACTGTAATAGCCCAACGCTTTCAACGCACAACGCATGTGCCCTGCTACTTCGCAGTCTTTAGTTATACTTTTCCTGTCTCTTTATCGGCAATCTTCTCAGATATATTTTCTACGAAAGAGATGTTGAAAACGCGACCACCCGAGGTAATGTAATAAGTCAATAAAAATAAAGACACACGCCGCTCTTCTAATTACCAGACAATGTAGCGGTCAAACAGAATAATAGTTTTAATCAACTTACAGTTAATGTCGCAGCTCTAAATTACAGGCCCTTCTATTCCCTACAACATCTGTCTCTTTGATAAAGACCGAACGAATACACGTGACGGAGGGAAAAAGTCACGAGGGGGTCAAGTGTCAATTCGCCTGATGAAAAAAAAGAGAACGAGAGGGGAATAGAAGCGGGACAGCTATGCTCACCGATTGTTCAACTTACTCGCTGTCAATCCAATATCGTTGATGGGAATCGGGCACGATCGGGTTCGCGCGGTCGTCGACGAGGCCGGACCTTTGATTTGAAGAACTTTAATCCGACAAGGGTCCACGCACGGCATCCTCGAGCCAGGACGTAATCTCGTTTACGACGTATTACGATTCGATCGATGCCTGATTGTGCCCGTTGAAGGTAAACGTCGCTTTCAGCTGCCCCTGGCCGTACGCCTCAATTAAAAGCGAGAGAGACCTTCTGGAATCCCGATTATAGCCCATTATAGAATAGCGCTTATCGGGGACTCCTGAGAATTCGCTTTGTCGACACTACTGCAGTATCGGCGTATTGTATAACGAGGAACACAGAATGTTCTTTTTTTTTTGTAACTTTGAAGCTGTTAGAGTTTAATGGGACGGCGAGGAAGAGATTTATATGCGAATGCTTGTTCTTATAATGTGCACTTAAAATTCAATAATGTGTTTGTAGTATTGAAATTACTGGAGGCGATTAGATTTGTTTAAAGTTAGTCGAGTCTGTCGGAGAGACAGAACGAGCGTTTACTGGTGTTACGTGAAATATTTAATTCTTCGATGGATATTTTTATTTCGCTTACGCGAAATTCCTAAAAATACTGCCACTGAAGGATTACAAATTGCACAAATTGAAATTGCTCGAAAATTTTGGAGATTCTGGGAATACCGTTCGCTCGAGGGGATGCCGGATGTCCGATTTTATTGAACCTCGCTGCTCGGCGCAAACGGGGCGAATTTCTCAAAATGCGGGTTAAAAAGCGTTCACCGGCAATTCCGTGGCGTCGCGATCGGCAATTCCCACCATTTCCTCCGAAAATCAGCCGGGGTACGCAATCATTCGTATACCGAGAGCAAATGGAACGAAGCGGCAGGTTTCGGAATATCGCGCCAAATTGTGGTGGATGTTACTGTAGCTTGCTCGACTCGCGATCGAGTGAAAAAAAAAGTCGCTTCCTCCGCACTTTTTCGCCGCGGCGTAATGACACTTCCACGAAGACACCTCTGCGATATTTCAGATGACCCTCGTCTCATGACGCTGACTCGTCGACTACTTTTCAGGCTCGTTCCAAATTCTGACGGAAATTTACAGGCACGGGCGTCGCGATTTCTTACGTCAGTAATTTCGCGGACTAATTATGTCGATGAATTCCCGCGGGCCCGAATTGAGCGTCCTTCGCCAAGATTTTCGCAGCGCAACTAAATTTGCTTCCCATCGAAATGGTCTCGTTTCGAGGCACTTCAGAGAAGAAGAATTTATCTATATTGTAGTGGGTCAGTTATTTATGGAAGCTTCTTAATTCTGGGTCATTTGCAACATTTATGTAACTAATTTAGCTCTCTTATTCGCCGGAGAAATGACGAGCTCATTTTCTTCTAAAATATAATATGCTGTGTTTTTTCTCTATTATGTCAATCTAATAAAAATAGGGTAGGCCTCGTTCATCACGAATAAGAAACAGTATTCCAATTAAGTAATTTTAAAGCTTAAATGTTTTTACAATTGCACGGTTTTTAAATGGTAAAAAAATTCATTTTTATCTAGAGAAATTTAGAGAAATAATTGTGCTAATTACAGTTAACGAATGTTTGCCTCGTTAGAAACAAAAATAAATTATTTTTCTTTTATTATCGAAAAAATAAATGATTTTGTTTATACGTTGCATATTTTCTCTTCTCTTTTATAATAAGGAGCTCTAAGATGTTCCAAATCTCATTCTAAAAAAACTGTAAACGCAAGTCCAGTTTCTTTTATTATTGTCACGGTAAGTGTGGTGAGCAAAGCAATAAAAATCATATTAAGGGTTAAACGACCTCAATTATACGGTCCGCAGAGTTGTGCATTCGCGTTCAACCCGCGCGTCACAGCTTTGTACGATCAAAATACAGTCTCCAGAAGGAAGATTATCCCTCAGTTCGATGCACGAGCGATGACACGGACGGCACCCGGTTTACGATCCATCGATAGGCTTCCTCTGTGCAAAGGAACGTCAGTGAAAACGGGCGTGAAAGGGGTGTAAGGATCGACGGGTACAACTACCCTCTCAGGGTTGCGTCTGACGTTGATGACGGCCTTGAAGAGCCTAAACACTCAGCTAATCACGTAATGGCGCGTGACACGGGCGAAATATTGCTACGCCCCAACCCCGGAAAATGTGTGTGCCGCCATTTTCTTACGAAATTCCGCGGAATACCGCTTGAATTTCAGAGTATCCCCCTTAGACCCTAAAGACACCCTTGGGAGGCAAAACTGATCATCGGCGAAATCGCAAGAATATTATGCCCTGTAATGGAGACATCGCTTATCGTCGCGCGGAAACTCCAACCACAATAACGATACTAGTGCCACGGCTTTTACCGCACGAATATCGATTGTACATAGCAATTGTTGGAATCTGTAAGAGAATTACTCTCAAAATCCGAACAGGAGAAAGAAGGGGAGCACTGTTTTACACGACGATTCTTATCTTACTATATTCTTTTTACCTAGAAAAAAATAAGATACTTTTTACATCCCCTAATCAGAATTCTTCAATGTCGCCAGCGGTAATTAATAACGTCGGTATTTTCTTGACCGTACCTGGCATCTTTTTAATAATGCAGAAACTTTATTGCGAAAAATATTACCTCAGCCAGGGTGTGTACCTGGACCCCCCTACACTCTAGGCGGGCGTCTCATCAATTCGACCACCGAGGCGTATGATAATTTTTTGTATCCCATTCTAAGTTTACTAAGTTAAACTGACAATAAGTTTTGCTCATTTACAAAATATTTATTATCGAAAATTATGAAACAACCACGAATCTACAGATAAAACTGTTCAAATAGTAAAAATGAATTTAATTGCATTGAGTAATTAACTGAACAGTTTTTACAAGAATTTTACGTTGTATTTATACGAATAATAAATTAATCTTGGATTAGTTGTCCTACGTCGACTACGTTGCCCTTCTTTATGAGACAAAGTAAATTTGCTTGACATGTATGAAATATGTTTCTACGAAGTTACGTTCACGTATACTGCATGTAATCTTCGCCACTGCTTTACTTAAATATCTCGTTTATAAGATTACGTAAAAAGCGAGCAACTCTGTTGATTTTAACGACAACACATGTATACTGCAGATAAAAGCAAATAAATAAATATTCTTGCTAAAAGGCAGGACAACGGTTTCTCTTCTCAGGTTTGTTCTTTCGTATTCTTTTTCTTTTAGCATTAAGGCGTAAATGTAATTTTCTCTATTAATTTTGGATGTAAATGATGTAAGTATAAGTCAATGTTTTATACGTTGTCACATTTAATCTGTACGATTTCCGCGAAACATTAATCAGTCAGTCAGTAAGTGTCGGTTGATTGAATTTTAATGATATTGGGGTATCATTTATCAGCGTAGTCGTCTTAATTGGCTCAAGGGATTTATTAATCAGAGAGAATCACCGTCTTCAAATATAATATCATTCCCATCGTATTTCATACTTATAAGAAGTTTTATAGTTAACGTAACGACCATGCTATGTGATCAATGTGTAATAAAAAAAGAATAAATATATTATAAATCTTATTTTTAACATTAAGAAACCGTATCTGGGGTAAAGCAGTTTTCAACATTATGTTAATGCAAAGTTTGATTCTAAATTTTATGTGGGACTCTTTCCTTTTCTACACATAAATTATTTATGTGTAGAATTAAATATTTAACTTAAATATTTAACGCAGAACTTGCAATATCGCGTTCGTTTTCGTATATTTCATAAATATTTTTCAAGTTTCCACGCGCAAAACGGAGATATCGTATATTTTTAGTGGCAACATTGCTCTCGTCTATTTATGCACTACGAAAAAACTGTTAAAAATTACCAAGATTTTTCGAAAATAAAGTAGAGCTCTTTATATTTAATTGGCAACAATCGACACGATGTAAGTAGAAAGTTGCATGTAATAGTAAACGAGGATATATAAAAATGGGGACAAAAAGAACGAGATTGCAGTACTTTTTCGTACAAGTCTAACTAAGGTAACGAACGAAAATTGCATCAGAGTTTTGGCGTATATACGTATGTACATTTAACTGAAATATATATATATATATATATCTCGCGTTCTCGTTTATCGCGCGCAAAGATATAATCGTGGACCGTCCAGCGCCGTACGTTCGCACGACATTTTTCTGCAGCAAGCCATTCCGGTGTGAGTCGTAAAAGCCTTGCGGCGTTTAAGACGGCTACGTACCTTATGAACATGTATATACCCGTGGGCTCCAGTGCCCTAGAGACCGCTTTCCAGCTGGCGATAACCGTGAATTTTTGCCTAGCCGTGAGCGGAAGTCGAGGATCCGTGGCGGCCGGCGGCGGCGGCGGCGGCGACGAGCCATCGTTTCCGGCTTGATTGCGCGATTTCGTGGTGGCCAGTTTGCTAAGTTCGCAGCCCATGTTGCGGCGGCGAGTCCCAGACGCGACCCCCCAAGTCGCGGAAGACACTAACCCGAGGCAATCCACAACGGGGGATGATCACCACCTCGCGCCACGAAACTCGTAGATCGCGCGGCAGCACCCCGCGTTCGATTTTGGTATCGCTTCCACTCCCTGCCACTTCCGCCCAAGTTCCCGCCGCATCGACGAGAACGAGAGATTGCACTACACTGTGAGAACGAAGGTATGTACGCTGACGGGTCGGCTTGGGGATCGACGATGATACGACGACGAAGACTGAACCCTGCTTTTTCTCAAGTCGTGAATCGGCAGTAAAAATACGCTCCGGACAAATAGTGCGTTATATCCTAATAATTTCTCGGGTCTCCTCCGTCTCACTTACATCCCTGAACACAGTGCACGTGGTCGAATTCGAGAGATCTGCGATAGAGCCCGTCGCGTTTTCGCCAAACCGTCGATGCGATCCTCCAAGAGCGGATGATCGGAGCGTCTTACCGCTCGCGCCAACACTTTGCCAATGCGATTCGCGTCCATGTATCCCTCCCACGTGCCACGCGATCTCGACGGAAGCACGTGCGTTTTAAAGTGACTCGGCCGTTTCGAAGCTGCTCACCCGCGAGCGTGCGTACGCCATCGTTGACAGCGCCAAGATAAGCGCGGTAAGCTACGTGCAAGTTCCACCTCTTCTCGCAAACCTTGTCACGTATCCGATGTATGCGTAGCGTGGGCATATATTTATCGTTTGTTATAGTTGAGAACACGCGGCGATTCCACATTAATCCATCTCCTCCTCCTATTCATCTCCGGTTCGAGTGCACCTCTCCTCGCGGTTATCCTTCACTTAAGCCCCGCGTATCCTCGCTGCTCCTTTTGGCCTGGCGAAGTTTGCCGCTCGGTGAGTTCATTTATCTAGCTTCTCCTCGCCCACTTTCCCTTCAACATCAATTTCACCTCTGCCAAATATCCTTCTTTTTCCTTCTCACCAAGATTTCTGCACTTTACCGCTTCCGCTCCTAAATCTTCCACCATCGATTTCTCCACCCTTAGCGCTCTATACACCGACCGATTCGTGTGTTCTTTACTTTCTCTCGGGATACCTGGGGTAATTGTCGTCCTCCGGCAATTTTCTTTATCTCCTTTTCCTTTCTTTACACTCTTCGTTTCCAGCGTAAGGTAGCTTCCTCGTCTTGCTGTTATCTATCTGTTTGCCGAGTCTCCTTTGTTTTTCTCTTCCATGTTATTAGGTTTCTATCTCACATTTTAATCACCCGCATTTTGCCCTCCTCCCTCTTTTTCCCCTCTCTTCTCACTTTCCCTTATCCCCCTCCCTTAACACCCGTATATATTCATCAAGCGTACAAATGATGTCTTTTCATTGTTTCACGCGACAATAACTCCGCTTTACCCTCTTCAGAATCTCGTTAGGCTCGTTAACTCTTTTCGCAATTTTTAATTACGACGTATCTTCACGTGCCCGTCATTTTTTACCCGGTTTGTCCCTCCGATTATTCGAGACCCTCCATCAACGCCGTACAATTTCACTTCACTTGCTTCACAAAGTTTACGAGTATGCAAATAGTCATGGCTCCTTAAGCATCTTCAGACTGCACGATCTCCGGAACATTAGCTGCAAGTATACGGGCCGCGATGGCACTTTTCATATTTATCGAGCGGAACGATTCATCGATCTCATTTACGGCGAACACTGGGCGCGGCAGCGAGTGACGGATCGAGAGGAAATCGAAGACGCGCGAAACGATCTAGGATGTCGGCGAGTCGACACTCGATATATGAAGTGGCAAATGAAGCTCTCGCGCCGCCGCCGCTTCGTTGGCACAGGCGAACGTGTTAGATATAAGAATGATCCTGTATTGGAAAGCACGGGGTATTCACTTTCGCGTTTCGAATTTTGCCCATTTTTGCGCTCTGATACCGCGTGTATATCGAATTTCGAATTTAGAGGTATCTATTGTATTGGATGACAGCACGACAAATTTTATTGCAACTAATCGGTGAGAAAAAATTGTATAAATGCGAGGAGACTGTGCGCGTGTTTGTTATTAATAATAGAAAGACGCGTCTTTCCTTTAAAGATCATCGACCCCAAAATACTCGGCGACAACGATTTGCGATTCGAACAATACACATAACGTGTAACTGTTTCTCTCGGATATACTCAATTACGAATAATCGATCTAAGAAGCGAGTTCGCGTGTAAAACCGGGGGTGTGCGGTTCGTCGCGACTTGTGGCTTGCTTATGCTTGTCAATAAGTTTGCCTCACGAATTAGCGAAGCAACGAACTATAATAAACCGTATAGGTTCCACGGCGCTTTAGCTCGTCCAGTTCGTTCTCTCGTCTCTCTCTCTCTCTCTCTCTTTTTCGCCGCTCGACGCGCGATCGATGGTTGGTGGCTCGACGAGCCCTTTGACTCGCGGCCTATTTACCGACTCTCAACGGGAAGGATGAGCCACGAAGCCGCGAGCCGCGAGCAATAGCGAACTACCCGGGTCCCGCGTGGCTCGGGATGGCTTCGCGCAGTTCGCCAAGGCTCGCCGAGCCTCTACACCTCGTGGGACCCCGGCCTAATGCAATCGAAGATTGCGCCGAACAATTTAAATGCATCACGACTCTTTTACCCCAGATTTTCACTGCTAACAGAATGTACACGAAAAGTGCAAGTTTCGTCGCGCCAAACGTTACGTAACAAACTCATTGTATACTATTCATTGCATATAATGCACGAGGCGCATCTGCAGAGCAAACGGAAACTGTACATACTCTTTGTTTCGTAGCAGGAATTTTTCTTAAGGCTGCAATTCTTATAAGCTTTCAAAAATTCCAGTAAAAATGTGCCTGATACTTTTCAAACAATTAGTTAACTTTTTCTTTATCGAATTTTTCTCGTGTGGAATATGCTATGTACGTACAAAAAAGTAACAAAGAGTGGTCCATTAGATAAAATATCTGGAGTTGACAGTAAAACTCATCGCTGGCTTGCTAGTACGAGATTTATGATGTTTTCCCGTCCTTATAAGTTGGGAGTGCTTAAGAAAGCTCAGTAAGTCTGCCTTGTTTAACTGTTTGCTTCTACTTATTTGTGACTCGAGGGATCTGCCGATCGAAATTATGAAACGCTTTCTGTTATTGGTAATATTTACCCTTGCGCAATACCAACAATTAATACATTTTGTTTGTTGCCAATAATTTTTCAGAGACTTTTCGAAGATATAGAGAAACACCGAGTCGGGAATGGTCAGACGAGAGAATGTGAAATATTAGCTGAAAACAAGAGAACGTCAACGGTCCCGTTTCAAACAAACAGAATGTCCCGAACAAGTAAAATTGTCCAAAAACGATGAGAGCAAAAAAAAGTAAATCGTGACCTACTTATTAATTTATAGAAATTAAAGGGGTTATTGCAATTTCGAAACAGAAGCAAAGTAATGTCTTTAATCGTCTCCAATGTCTCAGGGGAGTGAAAAGGCTGCTTTCAATGCGAATTGCGTTCACACGAATTCTATTCGCAAAAATAATACTAGACACTGCCATTTCACTCGGTACTTTCCTCACGAAAGACCCGCCCCACCGATATCAGTCGAGTCGTTGCGAAAACTTGCCGAGTTTCGTCGTCAATGCGACGACAATGTCTGAACGGCATGGCACTTCAATTAGCGTAATGGCGGTATCAAGCTGGATCAGCTGCGGAGCAATGGGACAAAAGAGAAATCTTAGCCGACAAATCTTGCGGGGTTGGTATGCGCCTTCGGGCGGAAAGAAACGAAAGAATCCAAAGTGCGGCGAGGCGGAATTCCGGTGACGTTGATGGAGGAGTTTTGAGGGATCCGGTGGGTGGTGTCAAACTCGTCAGCGTCATTGCTCTCCGTTCGACGTCGAATTCGGGGAGCGTGTCAAAGAAACGTGGCGATAGCGGGGTAGCACAAAGCGAGAGAGCGCCGATAAGTAGATAAAAGCGTTATGAGGCAGCCGGGCGTGACCGGGGAAAGAGGGGACTTCCCCGTTCGTTGGTCCCGTTGGGGCTGTACACCGCTAACTTTACGTTCGAGTTGTCCGTCCCCGTCGAGCATATCTCAGCGTTGATAAGTATCCTCGGTAAAGTTGAGCGGAGGCGCGTAAGAAGCGCGCATTGGGTACAGCGCGGATAACTTTGATGGCTTTCCAAGTTCCCGATGCAAAAAGAGTGTAAGTGGTGTCCCGCTAAAGCGAAAGTCCATCGCGCGAGCGGTACGACGTCAGTAAATGTCGGGGCTCTTCTTGCCCGACTTTTACAACCATATATGCCAGCTAAAAGTGTGTCTACCACCTAGCACGTCCGCGTGTACAACTCCTTTAACTCGGATTTCACGGGGAAGTTTTCATCACTGTTGCGATTCTATTAAAACGTGAATAATTCTGCTTCTTTTTTGTATCGATATAAAATATTCTATTTTTGCATATTCGATTGTCGCGTGAATTTGTAATTTTGTAAATTTAACATTTCTATCAGCTGGTTGACGCGTACGTTTTTGACGGTCTGAAAATATTTGTTCGTTCATATCCTGCGGAGAACGACGTCAAATTTGATCTAATTTTGTCAACCTAAGTAAACCTAAGTAACAGCGACGTCACGACAACGCAAAGTTTAATACGCCAAGACCGCGTATCTGCTGCATCGTCAATATGTGATGAGTATCAGGTAGCTATATTTAGCGGCAAATGTACGGTGGATTTTCGCACTTGTTGGAAAACCTCAGAATGACTGAATAAAATCGACGTGCGGTTTATCTATTAAAGATGCCACGGGCACCTTCCTTTGCGGGAAACGGTGGGGCGCGATAACGAGAGCGAGACACGTTGGCGCGATAAGCGTTATCGCTGGAGTTTCGAATCGATGCAACAACGGGAAAATCAGACCCCGGGGAATTATAATGACGGACACGCCGAACCGTTGCAAATCCGAAATTGACCCAATCACGCGGCGACAACGCGCTATTATCGCCAGTATTTCAAACGTATTCTTTGCGCGGGGACTCGGAAGCGTTCGCGAACATTTTACCATTGTACATCACAAATCTTCGTTCGCCAATTCGATATTATTTTCCATCGAAATTTACATCCGATTTGACGATCAATTAGACACCGTGAAAAATTATAGGCGCGAGACAGCGTTACATCTAAATATCTGGCGTATTAGACTCTTCGATAGGGAGAGAATTGATTCCTTCTGTGTTTCATCGAACATGCTTTTCCGCAAACCTTTAGCACCGAAGTTAACTATTAAATATATCTTTCTGTTCATTTCTATTTGCGGTCTTGGGAATTATATCGCGAGAGTGTTTATTAAGGTTCATCAACCTTTCGATACGTTTCTTAAAATAAAGCTCGAATTAGTGAAGGAAGAACGCGTAGACAAAAGAGGAACGGACGAATAATAATGTATATTATGTTTCCGCGGCGCGTGTATTAACGCGAAATATCAACAATGTAATAATTCCACGCGCGTGTCCC